GGTGCCGAACTAACTGGGCCGAGCTGGGCAGGTTAGGTGCCAAGCTGGGCAGGTTAGGTGTCAAACTGACTGGGCCGAGCTGGGCAGGTTAGGTGCTGAATTGACTGGGCCGAGCTAGGCAGGTTAGGTGCCTAACTGACTGGGCCGAGTTGGGCAAGTTAGGTGCCGAACTGACTTTTTCGAGCTAGGCAAGTTAGGTGCCGAACTGACTGGGCCGAGCTGGGCAGGTTAGGTGCCGAACTGATTGGGGGCAGATCAGGTGCCGAGTTGACCAGGCCGAACTGGAGGCCAATTATGTGGCGAGTTGACCAGGCGGAGCTGAGGGCAGGCTAGGTGCCGAGCTGGACTAATTGTTGAGCTTCGTAATTCTTTAGAGACCTGCAAGGAATCAATGTTAGAGGACCCGGGGTGGCTAACCCGACAAGGTCGTTGCGATGATTAAGTCAGTACTCATACTAGACTGCGAGCTAAAAATCACAAAAGTATAAGAGCTAGAATATGCTTACTTGCCCCCCCCCCCTCATGTCATTGGGGTCGGTGCCTTTATATAGGCATTGTTTGGCATGGGCTTCACGCACCATATCCGAGATTTCCGAGAGGTCGCCTAAGTGGTCCGAGATTCGCGGAGGCAACCACCATGCACGTTGACCACCCTCTGGATCGTTCAGTACATGGGCCAACTTCCAAGGATCGTGGGAGTGTTGGGATATGCATGCCGAATTTTTTGGTGAGCACGTCTCGCAGGTCACCAGGTCGGCACTTGTGCCAGGCCGCCAGTTCGGCGCCTGTGCCAAGTCGTCAACTGGGACACCATCATCTTGGCTAAGGCAAGTTGTTGCCTAAGTGGTTCCGGATGTCACTTAATTGTTCCGAGATGCCACGTGTCATAATGTCATTGGAGGGCCAAATCTACCCTCATCAATTGCCCCCCACTCCCAAGCTGAAAGTAATTCGGTGAAGGGAGTAGATTGCTCCTTTTGGCCTGGGGTCCAAGTGTTTGCAGCCTTGGGGTCTAGGAGCGACTCGCAGTCCACTCTCCTTACCCTTGATTTTGCCCGTGCCGAAGAGGCGACTAGGTCTTATGTGGTGCCGAGGTCTTTTATCAGTTCGGCACTTTAGAGCTACGGTTGCGCTACATCAGCCTCGTTAGTGACGCTGGTCACCCACTCCTACAAGAAGCTACTGAGAGCTCGACCTACGAGGGCAGCACTACTGACTTTAGGTACCTACTTGCACGAGAGCCTTGGAAAGCTCGACCGGCAGGGGAGTCTGTGCAGTCCGTTGGCCGCCAACTCCCGTGGAAGCCACAAAGACCTCATCTTGTAGAGGGTACCTCGCGAAGAGGACTGATGAGGCTTTATCCGAGTTGAAATAAAGTCGGCAAAGCTGCTTAGTCTGTTGGCCATCAACTTCCTGCATAATCTTTGAGTTCATAAAAATTGGAAACTAGAAAGTGAGAGTTTTAGTTTCTAAAAGGTGAGAACTTAGCTTTCTAGAAGAAGAGGACTTAGTCTTTCAGAGGATGAGAACTTAGCTTTTTGTAGCGTTTCCCACAGACGACGCCAATTGATGAATCAATTTTTTGCCAAGTACCTCGTCATTTGGTTTGCTTCCAAGTGGCCGATGACTCAGAGGCCGAAGTGGAGAACTTTTGCTTGATGAGGACCTGGATGTCGAGCTCACCAGGCCGAGTTGGGGGCAGATTAGGTGCCGAGCTGACTGAGCTGAGTTGGGCAGGTTAGGTGCCGAACAGACTGGGGTGAGCTGGGCAGGTTAGGTGCCAAACTGACTGGGCTGAGCTGGGCAGGTTAAGTGCCGAACTGACTGAGCCGAGCTGGGCAAGTTAGGTGCCGAACCGACTGGGCCGAGTTGGGCAGGTTAGGTGCCGAACTGACTGGGGGCAAATCAGGTGTCGAGCTAACCTGGGGGCAGATCAGGTGCTGAGCTGACCAGGCCGAGCTGGAGGCCGATTATGTGGCGAGATGACCAAACCGCCGAGCTGAATTGATTGTTAAGCTTCGTAATTCTTTAGAAACCTGCAAGGAATCAATGTCAAAGGACCCGGGGTGGCTAACCCGGCGAGGTCGCTGCGATGATTAAGTCAGTACTCTCATAGTAGACTGCGAGCTAAAAATCACAAAAATATGAGAGCTAGAATATGCTTACTTGCCCCCCCTTATGTCATTGGGGTTGGTGCCTTTTTATAGGCATTGTTTGGCGTGGACTTCATGCACCATATCCAAGATTTTCGAGAGGTCGCCTAAGTGGTCTGAGATTCCCGGAGGCAACCGCCATGCACGTTGACCACCCTCCGGATCGTTCGGTACGTGGGCCAACTCCCAAGGATCGTGGGAGTGTTGGGATATGTATGCCAAATTTGTCGGCGAGCACATCTCGCACGTCACCAGGTCGGCGCCTGTGCTAGGTCACCAGCTGGGACACCATCATTTTGGCTAAGACAAGTTGTTGCCTAAGTGGTTCTGGATGTCACCTAATTGTTCTGAGATGCCACGTGTCATAATGTTATTGGAAGGCCAAGTCCGCCCTCATCATAATTGATTCCTACAACTACCAATTTGGGAAAAAGGGAGAGGGTATTAGTGGTGTGTAATACCAAAAATCAAAAAAAGAAAAGAAAAACGAGAAAGAGATAATTTTATAATAAGTTATTTTCTTGAGTAAATGTATTTATCCCGGTAAGTATTATTTGAAAAAAATGTTACTTGAATAAATGCATTTAGTTGTGTTATTTTTCCAAAAAAATAGAAGATAATTGAATAAATGAATGAGTTTTTCTAAAATACCCCTATATTTTATGCATTATGAAGAGCATTTTAATTTTAGATAGTTTGACCAATTCCCCTTCATGGATAAATACTTTACCCACATGGAAAGAGGGAAAGAGGATAAGACTTTCTCAGATAAATTATTAAAAGAAAATTACCTAATTCCACGAATCCCACATTTGCTAGTATAATGACATGGGAAATTAACTAACTTTCCCGGACTCATGTTGCAATTTATTGCTCTTTCGGGCTTAAGCAATAAATTGCGTCGTCATCACGTCAAATAAATTCGACTGCATGGCTGATTTTAATGACCTAATTCTTTGTTTTGTAATTGATAAAATAATTATTTTACAAATGATTGTAGGGTATGGTAATCACTAATAAATCGACTTTTGATTCAGCCATTAGAGTAGAGATAAAGTCATAAGTCATTCAGACGAGCTACTACGTCAAATAATGTTTTTTCAAGTCTTTTTTTTTTTAATGTTTTTGTGGTGTAATAGATCTTTGCTAGACCAATACAATCCTCTACAGTCTACAATTTCTTGCTTAGTTCAGGTTGAGTAGTAATTTAATGGAAACACTTCTTTAGTGTGACGACGGAGGGTTTCGAGCAATAAAATAGCAAAATATACATGGATTTGTTTTCCAAAATGAAAATAATTGCCACGTCAGCAAAACGCTAAATATCAGCCGACATGCTCCAAAACGAGGGTCCTTAGCATTTGGCTTGCTGAGTTGGACAACCGACCCCGTGAGAGAAAACGTGGCTTTGACACAGCCAACCGGGCGTCGCCACCTTTGCTTTCGAAGTAGGCCGGGAGGCGCATCGCATGGGAGGTAAGGTTTCGTCTTTCCCTTCGTTTCGTGGTGACACGTGTACTGTAAGAGTGAATTTAAAGGGGGAAACTCTAATTTGCCTGGGTCAAATACTGTCTACATTCAAAGCTTATCTCTCTCGGTGTGTTGTGCAGGCTGCAGCCTGTGTAGATTATTTTTGAATAGATCAAGAACAGAAGAGAGAGAGGTTTTGCTTTGCCTGTTGAAAAGTCGTCGCCGGCACCCGAAACTCAACGTATCAAATGTGCCAGAACCGAAACGCCTCGGGAATCTGTCGGCGTTTTGTTCACGCGCCGTAATTTTGGCCTCTGTTTGTTAATTGTTAGTATATTCATTCACCTCCCATTCGGTCTTTCTGTCTTAACTTTTCGGTTTGATACTCTAATCAGAAAATCAGAAGGCCGATAAAACGCGTTTTCAATATTTCAACGCTACTGGTCCAGGAAATTCTGCAGAGACACGAAGTAGCTCTCCATCTATCTATTTAGTCCAAAATCTCAAATTTAGCCTTTTCGCGTTCGAGCTGTAGTTCCAATAAGCTTCATCTAGCTGTAACTGTAAGTGGATCTGTGGGAAATTCAGCCTTCTTTGCTTCTCCAAGCTTTTCTTCGAATGGACGAAAAATGGAAATTTAGTCGGTTCAGGTTTCGCATGGCTTTGTTGCTGGTGATGTTTCTGTTGAGTCAGAATTTGGACGTTTCTTGGTCTCTTAACGCAGAAGGTATTTGCTTTTGCAATTTCTTTGAATGTGTAGTTTCACAGGTTCGAAGGCCGTGCTTTACTGAAGAGGTTAAGTTGCATGCAGGGTTGGCGCTCTTGAAATTTCGAGAGGGAGTGGTGGACGATCCATATGGAGCCCTGTCGAACTGGAATGATGATGATGGATTCAATGATCCGTGTTTGTGGTTTGGCGTCGAGTGCTCGGAGGGAAAAGTTGTGGCCTTGTAAGTGGTGGTTCTGGTCCTCTATAACAAGATTACTCATTGTGCTTTCGAGTTATTTGCTTTACTGCATCAATGATTTTTTTCTCCTCTATTGTTCATTTGACATAATTAACAGAAAAAAAAAATCCGCACCCATTTTTCTTGCTGTTCTGCTTACCAGTTTTATGTCGAAAAACATTAATGGATTCAGATTCTTTCCCGGTCCTTTCATAAGAACATTTAATTGGGTACAAGTTGGTAATTTTTCTTAAAGTTTGAGCATAAGGTGGTGGACTTCCATCTATGGTGCATGAGTACGCAATATGTAAAACCAAAAATTAATTTGTAAAGAGGACTTTTCTGAAGGATAGACATATTTATGGGCACTGTGATCCACCTTACTGAAGAAAGGAGACCTGATCCTATAACCATCCCGCACTTTATCCGGTCTTTCCCTTTATATCAGATTTGGTGGACTTTCCACTGTTTGTGCTTCTAACTAAGTTCCACCATTTCTAAATCGCCAACAATAGATATGAACCGAAGACATGTTCAATATGGCAACAGTTTAGTTGAGCCCACTCCTATCTGTTTTAGTTGGCATGACTTCGTTAGTGAAGATAGGATCTGACATGCTTGCAAAAGTGATGTTTATAATTTCGATTAGGTCTTAATGTCTTATGCACTGAAAATATTTCCTTGTTCCCACAGCACATATTATAAAAACTGAATTTGCAATTATATGTAAGAGCTAAATGTTTGCTGTGATGTAATGGCGATTTGTTCACATATCTCATGCATTATAAAAATGACAATATCATAAATCAAATATGGAGCAAGAGATTTTTTAGGGCTTTTTATGAATAGAAACTTTTGATTAGCCATGACAATAGAAAGCCCATATCATCTCAACACGAAGTAGCTGTCAATGGACAAGTGTCGTAAAGTTTGTAGTTATAAACATTATAGAGGCAGCTCATATATCATAGTTTTGGAGGAACTAGGACTGAACTACCTAACCCTTAGATTGTTAGTTATGAGGGCCTTTGCAAARTGGTTCAAACATCAAAAATGCATTTTGCATTAAGTATACAATCATATGGAATATAATTGATAACAATACTAATTTGTCCAAACTTCAAAGCCATCCAAGCATCAAGGGAACAATTCTCTCTCTCTCTCTCTCTCTCTCTTGTTATTTGTGTGTTTTGGGAGGGTGATGTATTACACAATTATAGCAATGAGTTGGTGTTGAACTGTTGGTGATGACTACAATGATAACAGCAGTAATGATGATGTAACTGCCTTTATTTCTTATATATTTAACTGTTACTGAAATCAAATTTATTCCACTGACAGGAACCTGAAAGATCTTTGCATTGGAGGGCCATTGGCTCCTGAAATTGGAAATCTCATTCTCATAAAGTCTATGTAAGCATATAGTAATCAAGAATCTAATATTGAAAATAGCTTGTATGTTTCTAGTGATTTTATGTTTATATGTATTTTTTTACTTTTATCATCCTTGCAGTATTTTGCGCAATAATTCATTCTTCGGAATCATTCCTGAAGAGATTGGAAAACTGAAAGAGTTGGAGGAATTGGACTTGGGCTATAATAACTTCAGTGGGCCCCTTCCATCTGAACTTGGCAATAACCTATCTCTGGCTATCCTGTGAGTTGGTTCTGTTGAACAGCTAAATTTTGGTTATCTTCCTCTTTCTTCTATGTTAAATTAACTATAGCTTCCGATTTATGCAGTCTACTCGATAACAACAGCTTTCTAGACACAATATCCCCTGAACTCCGTGAGCTTAATTTTATTTCTGAACATCAGATAGATGAAAACCAGCTAACACATGCTTCACAAGGAATATCCTGCAACAGAAGATCCATTCCATGGTAAGATTAGTCAGTATCAACAATCAATGCTTTATCCATTGATACTCATCAAATGGATGAATACACAGTCTATGACTGCTCTAACGATACTTGTGTGCAAAGGTTTGGACTCATTATTCCATGTTCTCAGATGGAATGATTAAGTCCACAAAACCTTCATTTTGTACCAGGTGTCCCACATTCTAACCTAGACTTTTCATGTGTTCGTCTTTTTAGAAGTCTTTTTTTTTTTCTGTTAGTCTTTTTAGAAGTCATGCTTGCTGAATCTTGTATGGAACGTAGTATCTTATTCATGATAACTGCTCTTATCTACTCCAGGAACATTGTTGAAGACAGAGACATAGCTCATCGAAGTCTTTTAAGACACAGAAAAATAGATCATAGTTCTTCACCAGCACCAGCTTCACCTCATAGTTCTTCACCAGCACCAGCTCCAGCTCGTAGTTCTTCACCAGCACCAGCTCCAGCWCGTAGTTCTTCACCAGCACCAGCTCCAGCWCGTAGTTCTTCACCAGCACCAGCTCCAGCWCGTAGTTCTTCACCAGCACCAGCTCCAGCWCGTAGTTCTTCACCAGCACCAGCTCCAGCTCGTAGTTCTTCACCAGCACCAGCTCCAGCACGTAGTTCTTCACCAGCACCACCAGGAACACCAGCTCATAGTTCTCCATCACCAACATCCAGTTCTCCACATTCTTCCTCAGCAAGTTTACCCCCCAACTCAGATAGAAAAAACCGGGCATTAGAAAAACATAAATTTCTAGTTTTGTCTGCAATCCCCGGAGCATCCATTTTCTTCATTGTTTCAGTCATTGCCATTTTCTACTGTCGGAGCAGTAAGGTGGTTACAGTCAAACCTTGGTCCACAGGCCTGAGTGGACAGCTGCAGAAAGCATTTGTTACAGGTCATTCTTCTTTTTCTGTCTAATGAATTATAGCATTTATGTATATTTCAAATAAATCAAAGATACCATTAGGCAAGCAGAAGGGCAATTTAGCAGAGGCATGTTTTGATGCACAGCAGAGGAATCAAACCAATCTTCTAAATGCTTCCTCTTCAAGGATGTATTCCTTGGAAAGAAGATGAGCAATCAGGGGCCATTATTTGGTGTGATGGTAAAATCATGGGCTGTCAAGTGTGAGAACGCAGGTTCAAGTCTGAGAGAGGCCACTTTGAAAAAAAAATGCCAAAGGTTAGGACCGTATCCAGTCAGTCTACCCCTCCCAAGAACCAGATGGCTGGGACCATCATGGCCTATTTAGATGGTCATAACATCCATTCCATCGATTGTGATCATAAGCTTAAATTTTTTATAGCCCATGTTAACCTAAAGATTGGACAGTTTTGGTAACCTGATCGAGTCAGTTTTTGGCTCACATTGTCTTCCTTGCTAAAACAATGGAACAATGCATGCAAGCCTACCTGTGTGTATGCCAAATTGCAGCAGAGAAGAGACATCTTCATATTGTCTCATCCTACTGCAAATACTCCTCATATCATACAAATTTTTTGATCTTATAGATTTGAGTCTGCAATTCAGGTGTCCCTAAGCTGAAGCGATCAGAGCTTGAAACAGCTTGTGAAGATTTCAGTAACATAATTGATTCTTCAATAGATGGCACAATGTACAAAGGCACTCTTTCAAGTGGAGTTGAAATAGCAGTGACATCTATTGCAGCGACATCTGCCAGGGACTGGTCCAAGAATTTTGAAGAACAGTTTTGGAAAAAGGTACTTTATAGTCCAAAAGTGAACTTTGTGTAGTCATACTTAGTCCACCAGTCCCTTATCATTTTCCTTGGTTATGGTTTCAGATAGACACATTATCAAAAGTGAACCACAAGAATTTTGTTAACCTTCTTGGATATTGCGAGGAAGAGGAGCCTTTCACAAGGATGATGGTTTTTGAGTATGCTCCAAATGGAACACTTTTTGAGCATATACATGGTATGTAACTTACTTTCAATTCCCCAAGGTTTCTGTATAGTCATCTTAAATTTAGTGAAGAATCATTACCRTAATTTGGTTGACATATCCCAATTTAATTTCCAGCCAACCTTATATACTCTTTTAAGAATCACAAGTATTCTTGGTTGATGAATCCAATGCCCCAACTTACAAGAGCTCCTCAGGTTGAGCTGATCAGATCATCACAACCATTCAATCCCTCACATTTTTTTTCATATATCTGGATGATATTTGAAGTTTTCATAGCGAAATTTGTACATTGCATTTGAAGACTAAACAATGTCCCTTTTTCTTTGTGGGGAGATGGTGGGGATGGGGGTAATCTAGGGCTAGGCTACTCCACATCAGAATATATTAATGAAATATATAAAGTAGTAAGATTATGATTTGTCTGAAATCATTAATGTCATCATTTAAAATCTAGATATCCATATTTAACCTGTTCAGGTCCGGTACAAGGTAACCACTCTAGTTGAGTTTCCAGATAATATGAAAATGATAAATTTGGTATTTTAGTGTGACTAGAATGATATGAACTAGATTTATTCTTGTCTCTCTCTCAAATAATGCATCTTGCTGATGAATTTATACTTGGCCGGTACTTCAAGTATTGATCATTTGGTTATGCAGTAAGTGAAGCCTATATGCTTTTGTATTTTATTTGATTCGAGATTTGTGGTGGGATCATGCCAGTTAAAGAGGCAGAGCGCTTGGACTGGGGAATACGTCTGCGGATTGCTATGGGAATGGCATACTGCCTTGAGCACATGCACCAACTGACCCCACCTGTGATCCATAAGAACCTGCACTCATCCATTGTATATCTGACTGAAGACTATGCAGCCAAAATCTCAAATTTCAATTTTTGGAATGAGGCAACTGCTTCCAAGATGGGACCCACGACCATGGAACTCCCGGATATGCCATCTGGTCCAGAGAGTAACATATACAGCTTCGGTGTTATATTATTGGAGATGGTAACAGGTAGACTCCCATACTCAGTGGACAATGGCCCACTTATTGACTGGGCATTTAGAGGGGAGAAGTCCCTTAAAGAAATAGTAGATCCAACTCTGAAAGCTTTCCAAGAAGAGGAACTCAAGAAACTGTTAGAGGTTATAAGATCTTGTGTTCATCCTGACCCAAAGCAGAGACCAACAATGAGAGAGGTTACTGCTCGATTGAGAGAAATTACAGCAATGGGACCTGATGGAGCAACACCTAAACTATCTCCTCTTTGGTGGGCAGAGCTTGAGATTGCGTCAACAGAAGCAAGCTAAGATATGGAAAATGAATTTATCGTGAAGTATAAAAGTACTTACTTTTTTTTGTTGGCACACAAAATCGGTTTGTTTGTAGATTGGTATGTTGTATCTAATCTTAGGCAATGGAATGATCTTTGTATATAACAGAGGTAAGCCTGTATTTTCCTTAACTATTTTATATTGTGAAGAAGTTGAATGTGAAAATCACAATGATAGTGAAATCAAAATAAAAAGAAGAGTTCCATTTTCAATTGTTGACTGTACAATCTTTTAGTTGGTAATTAAAGCCAAAGCATGAAGTATAGCATCGTTTTGACACAAGGATAAAAATTTCACAATGTATTGGCCCGTATCGGCTGATACATAGACCTCATCGATACACCATTATACACACAGTTTCGGGATTTGACCTGTTTTAGGGGGGTAGACATGCCTTATACCAACCACCCTGAACAGATTTGAAAAAATAAATAAATAAATAAAACTGTGTACCAATACAGATTTTCTTTTTGATAAATAAATAACAAGAATGTTATTAAAAGAAAAGAAGTTACAAAAAGAGGGTGATAAGAAAGCACCCGAGAATAAAGAAAACCCAACAAAACAAAAGAGCCATCTAACAAACTAAATAATAAGCTCTGCATTACATATTTGATATCTCAGGACCTCTCCTAACCCACTCCCAAAATCCTCCTTGTTTAATTGACTGAATTCAGGGAGAATCAACACCCATTCAACCACTGATCTGCCCAGAGCCGCAACCATCTTCTCCATGCTACAAACCTTCTCTTTGAAAGTCCTGTTTTCCTCCTATTTCTTTCCTTTCATATGTTCCACAATACCACCATACCCCCTGACAGACCTACTGCATCCACCTCAGCCCATTCTCCTCTATTTGACCCCCATATCTCATTTTTTAACCTTAAATCAAAAGATTCCAATTTTGTTTCCTGCAAAAAAACAACATCCGGATTATGTTTTCTCAGAAGATTTTTACATTCCAAGATAGAAGCTTCATTTTCACAGCTCGCTTCTCCCCCTCTCTCTGCCCTTCTATTCCTCTTCCATCAGCCCTGTGTGTCTCCCCTCCCCCTCTTCCCCTCCTTCAGCAGTTCCCCCATTATCTCTTCCTTCTTGTTTATCCCTTCTAGACCTCTTGTAATGATCAATAGCTTTTCTCACCACTTCTTCTCCCCCTAGAAAAAACAGACCCAAGGCTTTACCTACTTCTATATGTCTTTCTGCTAGTTCTTCGATACCCACCTTCCTCTTACCCACTGATGTCTCCTTCCTCTCTACCACCTTCTCTCTTTCTTCCTGATTATAGAACCTACTTGTTTCCTCCACACCCCCAACCCCCCCCCCCTCCCCCTTTTTCTTTTTGTACCAGACTTCCTGCCCCTTGACACAGATACAGTGTTCCAGTATTACCCCATCGGAAACAGCCGCAGTATTACTCCAAAATAGAGGTGGTGCAGAGACGGAAGATGCTCCAGGGGGMGAAGAATGACGAGGGAAAGAGCTATGAGATAGGCCTTCCACGTTGAGCTCACTCACCTCTTGCCGACTAAAAACATCTTCAAATCTGCTTGGGACTGCCTCAATCCCGACCAGAGGCGGAGCTTTGTCGTTTGAAGTTATGGCCAGTTGGCCACCTCCACTTCATCCTCTTTGGCTTCATCTACCGTCTCCACCCCAACTTCTTCCTCCCTTACTCCAGAAACAATTGTAACCTTTATTACTATTGTCTCTGGAGCGTGATTGTCATTCACTAGAGACTTCTTTCTTCCTGGTGCCGCTGACATCTCTCCCTCTTCACTCTCTGTTAGAGAATAAAACCTATTCAAGGACCTCCCTTAACAGCTTAAGCTTTTAGGTTGAATGGTTCTTTGAGATGGTATGAGAGCCACTTTGATCAAGTAGTCTAGTGTTTGATTCTCATTACTCCCATTATAATTAATTAAGTTTCAGCACAAGGTATGGGGTGGGCCTTTATTGTTTATCCCAATGGGCTTTCATGTGAAGGGGTATGTTAGAGAATAAAACCTATTCAAAGACCTCACTTAACAGCTTAAACTTTTAGGTTGAAGCCTGTTCACCCTTCCTCTAAGACGAAAAGGAAGTTCCTGTAAGACCCCTAAAATTCTTGTCTTTTTTGCCCCCTCCTCTTCTTTTACACTCCACCAACAACCTGCTAAAGCAGTTGTCCCTTCTCCTCCTTCCTTGATTCACACAACCGGCTATAATTGGTTCCTCTCTCCTCTTCTTCCCTGGCCCCACTCGAGATTCTCATTCAAGAATCGGGTCCACCTCCATCTCGTCCACTTGTCCCCTCTTTGTCCTTTCTGGCCACCCCTTTGCCCACGTGTGTCTTCCCATTTGAGCTTGAATCTGACTCAGCATCAACCTCCTCCCCCACTCGACTTTTCAGCTCCTTCTCAGCGTCTCCCTCCTCCCTTGCCCAACTTTTCAGTTCCCATCCTGTCTCCTGCCTTTCCCCTGTTTTCACCTCTGTGCTCACCTGAGCTTCCGAGCACCCTGTCTCTCCCTCTGGCCTCTGCTTCTCTCTGTACTTCCAGATCCAAGTCACCCAACTGATCCAAGAACGGAATGTTTGTATCTCAAAATTCAAACCTCACACTAGTGTTTGTCATTCTAACCAACTTGGCCTTGGCAAGATATACGCCTAAGCATTTGGTTTTACTCTACTTAACAAATTTAGCTGGGGTTTTCATCTAATCCATTTAATAACTTTAGCTATCGGCCCTTTATCTTGGATTCCATAGGGATGAGAAGCATTTATGCATTCAATTTATTGGGTCCAAGCCTTCTCAATAATCTGGGGGGAGGGGGAGGGGGAGCTTTGGGCATAACAAGGGCATACTCTTCTGTGTCTCATTATTGTTACCAAAATAAAAATAAAAAGAAAATAATACTAACAAATTAACAATCTAAGTTTTCCAAGATTCTTCTCATCACCCAAATTCCATTCTATTTGCCATTCATTATCCTCAGCCAATTGTGTGGCCCAAGATCTGTGACTTAGTGAATAACAAAGTCTAGTAGGTTGGGCAGGTATGGATTGGGTTCCACCAATTTAGAGTTTGGTTCTAAATTAGGACCGGAATTGGAATCAGAATCCCCCATAATCGGAATTGGAATCATCTATTCCCGATGCCTGTTTGGTCCAATCAAGAATCAGAATCAATCAAAATTTTCAATTTTTGCCCCAGTTAGAAGAAGAAGAAGAAGAAGAGGGAGGCAGCAACAATATTAGGGAGGAAGAGGGTGAGAAAGAAGAGGACAGAAGAAGAGAGAAGAGGGGAGAAAGAAAAAGAAAAATAGGAAGAAGAGAGGGATACAGGGGAAGGACAACCGGATAGGCGGCTAGCAACCAGTCTTACCTTGCCGGTGATGGTGGTTGTCAACGGCTAAGTTGGATGAAGGCCTATCAAACATTCAAGCCTTTGGACAAATAAGGCTTTAGGATTGAAATGGGACTTCTTTGTCAAAAAAACAAAAAGAGAGGAGAATGGAAATGACATTCTTGAAAGCAAAATGGCCATTCCCCGTATAGGGGAATCCCATTCCGATCAACCCATTCCAATTCTGATTCCAGACACCTATTCCCACAAACCAAACGCACTCTTAGTTTTCATTTAGACGGGTCACTACTGATTTTAGTCCCATTTATTCATTGTACTTTCTGAAGATTGAATCAATGATTCTCTGAATAAAAAAACAATTTTTTGCTATATACACCATCAGGGGTCTATCCGAGGGATCTGCAAACGAGAAGGCATGTTGACTTGATAAACTAAGGTTCCGGTTGTACTGATGCATCATTCTATTTCTTTTTTCAGCAGAATGTTCCATTATTATCATCAATGATAAGCAGATGATACTAAAATTCCAGAACATGGATCAATTCACCTAGGCTGCCTATGCTGCAGTAAGGTATGACATGCCTCATCATGTTACAATTAAAAAAAAAAAAAAAAAAAACTCATCATGACCTTGATAAGCAGGCTTGTGCTTCATAGTCATTAGACCTAAAAGCTAACCAAACCCTAATGATATTGACAACATGGTTGGACATCTTTCAGACCCTTCAATTGGATCATCCAAAGGTTTTTTGGATGGCAAAGAAAATAGAGAACCTAAGAGAAAACCGACCAATTAGATCCTCGGGATGTGATACTTTGAATTGGCAGATGGATGACACAAAAAAAGCCACGCCAATTAGCATAACCAGATGTTTATGGATTCAAACTCCATGCCACCATGAAAGTAGACTGAAAACCAGAACCTGTGATTGACATCCGTACTGTAGAGTAAAGAGAGAATGTTCCTAGAAATCCAATGGCTTCCCAAACATCGCATTTATCTCATCCATGGCCTCCTTGGTACACACAGTCGGCTCAAATAAATCAAATTCGCTGCCCAATTTGCTAGATGGCCTCAATGAAGCTTGTTGCTGTAGTTGATTTTCCAAGTTCTCATCAGGCAGTATGGAAAATCCAGAGTCCCTCTTCTTTTCTGGTGGATTATGTTGTTTTTTTGATCTGTTGGTCTTCACAAAATCTAAAGGCTTTCCAAACATGCTGTTTATGTCATCCATAGCCTCCTTCAGGTTGATTGTGGGGTCTACCAAGCCATGGTGGCAAGCATTTTCAACCTCCGGGTCATCCAGAATGGTAGACCCTACAAACCTACAGACAACTGTATCTTCCCTGAGTTTCATATTAGGTGAGCTCTGTACATCCAGATCATCATAACCATTGGATGGGAGATCCTTAGGACCTGGAAATACAAATGCATTTATAGTTTGATCAGATAGCAACGATCCTTCAGTGGAATGATCGACCACATGACATGCTAATCCATTATTTTCATTATTGTTGTCACCACTGTCGTCGCATTCATCATCAACAAATATCTTAAAGGTTTCTTGGGGAGGCTTCCGTGTTTCAATGCTAGTATGCTTCTTTAGCAATGTTGGATCTACATGATTCCGAGTACGCAATTCACCACTTCCCTTGCTCTGATCAGCCAAGCCAACCCCATTTTCAAAGCCTTCATCAACAAATACTTCAAACCCATTATTCACATTATTATTTATTTCAAAATGGTTTCTCTGTGATCTTCTCTTACCCACTGGCTGCATATCCAAAGGTTCACGAAACATGTTGTTTATTGCATTCATGGCCTCCTTCATATTGATTGTTGGATCCACCAACCCATGATGGCAGGCATCTTCTGCTTCAGACTTTCCAACAATGGCAGTATCTACAAATTTTACCACCACTGTGTCATCGTTGCAATATGTGTTTGGCTTAAATGATTCCACACCAGTGTTCTCTTGCTGCTTGAAGGAACTTTTGGGGCAGACAATTCCTGTGGTTTGCTTCTCTATGGAAGGATCACTAACTTTTCCAACATCAGAAGAGTTTGCTAAAATCCCGAGATGATTAGGAGGAAGGTGAACATCAGGGTCAAATCTTCCATTCCTAACTGCAGTAGTGCTTTCTTCTGTTTCCATTTTGTTCCCAACAATTTTACAATTATTTTGTGCTTCTGTTGGAAAAATCTTAGACCCTGTTGCTGAAGCACCGCATTCCATTCTGCTACTTTCTTCTCTAGCTTCTTTTCCCAGTTGAGAAGAGGCATCCCTAACAGTCAGGGGCCTCATGGCAATTCTTCCTTCCTGGCGCCGAAGGACATCCATTTTAATAGTTACGATATAGAAGAATTCCAGAAAGAAATAACAAAGAAAGAATGCACAATACAAACAAAAGAAATGTTACCCTGGCCTTTCTTTTCTTGTATAGCTCCATTCGTTGGAGAAACTTATCATACGATTTCTGCAACTCACCTGCAGGCTCTGCAAGACTGTTCAACAGTTCTTAGGTGAAAAAAAAAAACTTSATTCATAATAAGAACCATTTGAAATACGTATCACATAGTTAGCTAAGTATCTCATATTTAACCGATACCTATCACTTCATAGCCGTTGGTATCAGTTTAGTTAAATAGCAACCATATATACTACACAGATCTAGATCCTTCCCGTCTATTATATAAAGGCGGTTCACGTTGCTAACTGCTAAGTCAAGCATTGTTAATGGTTTCCAGTGATTCAGAACATTATCAGGCATTTCTAATCTATTACAAGTGGATTTCTTCATTGCATAAATCGAATTCCAAAGTGAAGCATTCTATTCATTGGGAGAACCGAGTGATGTAAATAATTGGACTCTGGTCACAAGTGATTAACTACAAACAGTTTGTTTAATTTTTTTCAGGATAACCATTTTTCAACTTGATAATTTTTTACTTTCTTTCATTCTTTTATTTATTTTTTTGGAGGGTGGATATGCTGGATTCTAACACACAACTAACCATATGCCTGCGACACGTTACGTCAATGAACTAAGCTACAGGTCTCTGTGGCTTTAAAATTTTTCAAATAAATATGCAGAAAAACCTAAAAGAAACAAACCCGCAATAGTGGAGATTCAACTTTCAGAGTTGGTAGCAGCTTATTGCATAATATCAAGTTCCCTATCAGAAAGCCCACAACGTTTCTTAAGATAAATCAATATATCTTTGCATAATATCCAAAGAAACACAAAGCACATTTGCAGGTTAAACGCTGGAAATAAGAATAAGAGGAACAAGCTAAACTGAGAAATATATTGTAACTACAGTAATGAGGATCTCTTACTTCTGCACGCCCAGATGGAACATTTTCTCAGCCTCCTCAAACTTCTTGAGCTTCTCGTAGTACAGGGCATAGGCTTGGTAAAATAGTGCCAACTTCGTTCCAATCCGATTCGTCTCCATCGTCTTGAGAAGAGCTCGAGGGTCGTCCACAAAATCCAACTACCCAAAAGGAAGGGAGAGAAAGTACAAAGAAAATAACCCAGTTGAAATCTAACCAAAAATAGGCGAAAGAAATCAGAAGGATGAAAGACTCTGAAGAATATTAGAAAGATGTAACGAGAACCTGACGGTAGTTACCAGTTGTATCCAAACGCGAAGGTAGCGCATGTCGTTCCGGTAACGCCGATCGTCCTCAAAGGTCTGAGCACATTTCTGAAGGAATCGAGGGAGCTTCTCCTTGAGAAGCAGAGGCGGGAGATAGTCCTTCATTTTACGGATACCTCTGGTCTCAATATTTGATTACACGTACAAGGGAAAATAGAGAATAATCAAAACCAGATCAGATAAAATCATAGAAAACGTTGAGAAGAGAGGAAAAAGAGTCATGGGCCCTTTTTTTCTTACCGGAGCCATGGCAGAAGAGGGTCTTTACCATTGTAGGTCTTTATCTCGGTAATCAACGAAGAAAAGAAATCGTTGTGGGTATATGCCATGTTCGGAGGAAAACAAGAAGAAAAGAGTACTAGTGATGGTAGAACTTGGAACTTGGAAGAGGAACCACAGACCTAATTCAAATTTGAAGTAACGATTCTAGGCGCATTTTCTCGATTCTGCATCTCCTGCCAACATAATATTCCAACGTCCTACCAACAGAATGTGACACCGCACATCTCCCACATGGCGGCGGGTTCCAACTTCCAATGAGATAAATGTTGGTAGGTGTTGGAACTGGAACGTGCTAACTAGGAAATAGAAAATGAAATCTTGGTCCGGAGCTACCGAACCCGCATCAGAACCGGACTGATGGCCAGTTTAAGTGTGGTCGTGTGGGGGTGTGGGTCGTGTGGGCCTAGCCCATTCCTTTCAAATTTTAATATTATTAGGTGGATTAAATCCATATTCGCTTATTATCATGTCATTATCGCTTTAAACCGTATTTGAATCTCCTATCCATAAAAACCTATTCACAAATCACCTCATATCTTATCCCACCATGTTTTGAGAACATTTCCTCATAAATAATACGGCAAATTTCTTAAATTATCATTATGATTTTATTAATTGATTAACTTTATTCTAGCCCCCTTTTGTTTTTTGATAAATTATTTATTCAGGTAAATACAATTACTTGGATAAGTTTTTTCTCGAAAACACTTATCCGAGTAAGTACATTTATTCATGTTCTTTATTTCTTAGGTAAATAAAGTAATATCATTTTATCCATAAAAATTCATTATTAAAAAGGGTATATTTGTCTCATTCAAGTGTTAACAACTTTCCTCTTAGGTGTTAAGTTTATTTACCCATCTAAACAAAAAAAATAAAGTTTCCCTAATCCCCACTCTCCAAATAAATCTGAAAAATGAACATGAGATTCTTGATCAATAGAAATCAAAATTTCATTGACCAACTTTTCCCCCTCTCAAAATCCAAAAAAAAACACCCCCTTACTGTTTAACTATTGTCTTATACGACCCTGTTTCTGATAATTGACATTGTCAAGTATTAAGGGAAAAAATGAAATATTAAATTTACCCTATACTATTACTTAAATTTTTGAAATAAAACACAGCTAATGAAAAATTTTAAGAAGATAGGAAGCGGATCGCTAGTCGATCTCTGTTTTCCGTCTCCATCCCCATGTCTATCTCCATTTTTGCCTCCATCTCCGATTTCAGTCTCCATTTGCACGATGCTCAAAACAGCACTAAATCTATTGTGTTCACACTTTGGTCATTGTCTCATGCTCTCTCGTCTGAATCGCATCACGTTCCGGACATGTTCTCTAATTTTAGGGAAGAAATATCCATTTTCAATGGCTAAGTTCAAAAGCAACCACCAATTTTTAAATAAATAATGTGGTTGAGATGCTTCCTTGTGTAGGAGATGACACCGTTGAAACAATAGGGGCATTTTCGGTGGCTAAGTTCAAAGGAAGCCATCACCGCCTTTTTCTCGATAGTATTTTGGATGGAACGATAATAGGGCATTTTTGTAAGACAAAATGCAAGAGACATTTGTACTTCTTCAAGACTAAAGGATATCAACGGTAGACATTCTTGTGCCGGATTTTTTGTCCCTTGATAGCAATGAGAACAAAGTGTCGCAATAATCACACGAAGGTGAGATTATCATAGAAATTTTTATTGGTTCAGAATTTGAGAACTCAAACCCAGAGATCTCCCGCAGTCTTCTTGGCCGAAAAATAGTCATGGTTCCCACGATCTTTTTGGCCGATAAATAGTCATGGTTCCCATGAAGAGTAGAGCCGACAAGTTTCATTCGGATTATTCCACAAAGATGAAGTCTGGAATCTTCACTTGTGACTTGTGAGGGGAACGGAGATAGAGTGGATTTTGATAAAAAAAAAGGTATTTTAGGAATTTTTGAAAAATGTATCAAGTACATGTGGCAGAAAGTTAATGGAAAAATATATTTTAGACAATTGTCAAAAAAAACTTAAGAATACTTTAAGATGATATGTAAATAATAAGGGTAGAGTTGGTCAATTAGTTAAAACATAAGGATAATTTAAGAAATTTGCCCTAAATAATAATATATAAGTAATGTACAGTTGGGAAATACTGTGATGTCAGTGTGAGGAGTGCTTTGTGAGGAGCAGATCTAGATTTGTCATTGAGCAAGTGTGGATAGGATGCTTGTGGGCAGGAAATCTAGATTGTTTAAACCAAAGGCCTAGCTGTGTGTGTTCATGCCCACACAATTTTTAGTCCAGATTACCTGCCAACAAAACACATTCCAACCCTCTACCAACATGATCTCACACTGCACATCTCATACATAGTAGGTCTTACCTTTATGGTGGGTCCCAATCTTATGGTGAGATGTGTGGTGTTAGATGAAGTTGGCATAGGGTTGGAACGTGTTTTGTTGATAGAAGATCCTAACTCCACACTTTTTTGTTTGGATCAAGTTTTGGTAATTGTTAAGGATCAATATGGTGTTTTGTAAAACTAAACTCTTATTTGTAAAAGTCATTTTCAGCCCAGGGTCAGAATTTTTAGGCCCAAAATACAGTTGGGATATGTGCCAGCTCGGAATTGATGCCAATTCACCAACAGRCATTGGTGTATAGAGTGGGGGTACTTTATATTTTGAATGTTTATAGGTCTGTAGTGGAATTCAAAAATCTTCATTGGGCTTGTTTGTACTTGTATAATTTTTTTTTTTTTACTTTTTGTGTAAATGTAGTTAAATCAAAGGTGCTGGCCTAGCCAATTGATAAAGTTTTATAATTGTAGCAAAGACCTAGGATGGAGTCCTACCTTCATCTAAGTAGCCCTGTTTGGATATAAAGTACTTTAATACTTTTGAAAGTACAAACAAACGAAAAGCACAACATAGTGTTTGTATTGTGTATTTTATACTTTTTGCTTATACTTCATGTTTTTGGCGAAATTGTGCTTTTGCTTTTCGTGCAAATGGTGACCACCCTTCAATAAAACTGTTGATCCTACCTCCACTTGTCGCTGCTAAAGTCGAACTGCCATTACTGGTTTCAAACCCCAAAACCAACGAAAACCGTCACCAAAAGTACAAACAAACGTGTTTTTGCCAAACAAAAAATGATACTTCTGTTTTGGAAAGCCTATTTTTCAAAATTCAGAGCACAAATACCCAAATAAAAGTATTTTATGTACTTTATACTTTGATATTTTTAAAAGTAAAAAAAGTAAAAGTCTATCCAAACAGTGCCTAAGTTGTTTCAAATTTAATATTCACAAAATCACAAGCCTAACCCATTCCTTTCAAATTTAATATTCACGGGCTCGTATTTAGTTTTGCAAAAATTTGAATAGGCTGCCCTAAAATCCAAGCCCAAATCAATGTAAAATATTCATGGGGCAGAGCCCAAAGCCTAACACGTTTGTAGTTTGAGGGCAGCAGCAAATGGGTACCTTAAACTTTTAATTGCAACACTTGAGTACCATGAATTTTCAAAAATAGACACTTAAGTCCATTGATTTAGCAAGGTTCGAAGTTTTGATACAGTTCAATATGCCAAATTGGGTATATCAAACTTTGTATCGACACTCTTTTATATATTTTTTTTTCGAAATATGTTCAGGGGGTCAATTAAAGGCATGGTTACCCCTGAAACAAGTTGTATCCCAAAATTCCTTACATTTCGTGTGACGGTGATCTACTAATACAATACGTGTCAATCTACACAAGCTGATACATAATGAAATTTTGAACATTGTCCGTTAGTATTTTATCAGTTAAACATTACATAATGCCAAAAATAGCATTTTCGTATATTTCTGAAATCATTCTCAGATAACCAAACATCTCCCCATGATGATGTTCTCACATGAACAATAAATACATATTCAAATTTCCCGGTGATGATTTTACTTCATATAATGATCTCAAAACTACACGAGAAGGGTATTTTTGATATTATGTAATGTTTAACTAACAGATGAACCCAAGTGTCTATTTTTGAGAGTTTAGGGTACTCAAGTATTATAATTAAAAGTTGAAGGTAACTATCTGTTACTACCCCCAAAGTACAGGTACTTATCTATAGTTTACCCTAACAAAAAATATAGAAACATCTTGATGTGTATATGAATTTTATTTTCAAATGTTTGAAAAATAAAAATTTTGTAAAAAACATAATTTTGATAGTTTTAACTTTTAACAACATAATTTGTTTTTGGTTCATTGTTCAAAACAAAAACAAAATTACAGAATGTATTTTCTTCGTTTTTTTGGTGTGTGTGTGTTTATTTTGGCTTTTTTTTGTGTGTTGATGGATAACTTTGAAAATAAGTAAAAACAAAATCATTCGCATTGTCAAACACCTTCTCTGTCGTCACAGTTTAAAGGTCAATGTTCCAACCATCCTTGTTTCGACCATCGCCCAAAAATCACAAACGTGCTAAGGGATACGGGAGTGCTGAGAAAAATCCAGCTGCCTTTGGGTTATACTATACATGTCTGGGCTACATAGGCGCTTAGGCGCTAAAGCAATAGGATGAGTCGCAAAGAAGTCCATATCGCGCTTTCGGTTGCAGGTTCAGACCCGGTCCGGAAAGAAATGGGGAGCCCATTTCGGACGGCATCTGATCTGATTGAGACTTGAGATGTATTGAATGAGCGGCTTCAGATAAGCTACCAAACCTCTAATCTTCACTTCTCACCATAAAATCAATTCTTCAGCTACCAACCCTAGCTTTACGGGAAACTGGGAAAGTGAGAAAGTCGATTTTTCAGTTCAATAGCACTTTTTTTCAGCATTCAAAGGATTCTCACCAAATATAGCTTCTTGAGTACGCTGCCGGAAAGCCCTCCCAAACGGGCATGAAAAACATGAATTCATGTGAATTCGGATCTGTTGCACTTTTTTATCACTCTCGACTCGAAGGGATTTTTCTCTTCGAGTCCAATCACATTGTGACACGTCATCGATTTAAGGAGACTTGCAACCGGTTGAATTAAAAACCTTTTTTGCCCTTCTTGGAAACAAATTAAAGGAAAACAAAGAAACATACATAATACAATATTCAAAACAGAAGAAAGAAAATATAACTCAG